AGGTATGTGTAGCTTTGTTTCTTCTCTCTACCTTATTGCAGAAGCCCTGTTTTCTTTATTTCTGGCATCCTTCCATTGGGTGAACCTTCTCCTTGTAGTCTCTGTTACCACTACTGATCCCCACGTCATCGTTGCCAGCAGATAGCCACATGGTCAGTCCTATGTGCCTCTCATTTAATTTTTCCTCTTTTTAAAAAATATCTTCAGACTAATATTGCTTTTATAATACTTCTCTATTTTAATGCAAAATACTACACGCCAGCCTAGTTTTTCCTTTCTGCCAATGTACCAATTACAATGATAAATCAAGTGTAATTTTTTTTTCATTGTGTGTGTCGGTTTGTGTCTTTGATCAGGACCTTTTGTGGGAAGTGTGTGTATGTGTATATAGTATCAGGGGAATTGGTTACCATGTTAGTGATCTGGAGACATACTGGAGGCCTGAGATTTTGCATAATTTGATTTTTGTTGTTTTTTAAGATTAAAAAAGTATTGCTAGTTTTCTTTCTTTATGTTAGCTAACTTTATGAGTAACTCTATCTTAATCGTGATGCTGGACTTAGCACTTTTCCACTGCATCAAAGCTTAGGAGAGTATTTTGTTATTTAGGAGACTGTATCTAATCATGGTTCTAGTACTAATTAGATAATGTTGAATACTAATTTTACTATATATTCATTACATTTTATTTATGAATTAAGTAATAATGATGGGCTAATCCTAACTATAAATCTGAGTGCCAAACAGGTCAGGTCTTTTACTCTGAAACCTCAAGGGGAATGGGCAGGTACAGTAAGAGAGGAAAACAGACAGCAAGTACTGGAACCAAAGTACAGTCCTTCAGGAAGGTCATGCAAGACTGAGTTGTGAATTTAGAAGGCAAACTCTTAAGGAATAAAACTCATTGTTTTTTCCTTTTCCCATCTTTTCAGCTTTACCTCAAAATTACCAAAAGGCTAAAGGGAATACAGGAAATATCTATAATCAGATTATTGGAGTAAAATGAAAGATTGTTTAGGATTTACATTTAGAGATGAGAAAGAACTTTTCTCCTCAAGGCCTAGATTTAGTAAAGTTGTTTTTTGCTCTCATAGCACCATGTACTAATTTTTGTCTGAATTTTTATCCCTCTGTGTGGTCATTTCCTATTTATTCTTTAAACTAGATGAAAATATTCTTGATGGTGGAGTTTTAATTTTGTTCATTAGATATTTCTAGTACAAACACAATTTCTGACAAGGAAGGTGCTTGGTGATTATTTTATTAATAATGTGTTTTAAAGCTATTAAAAAATAGCAAATTCATAAGGAAAGGAAAACTGGTAAAAAAATTTTTATGTATTCTAATTGTGAAAGATTGAATAACACAGTAAATGCTTGTTAAAAATGTGAAAAACTGTATCTTGCCCATACTGTATGTTATTCAGTAGAATATAATACAAATTAAAAAATTTCTGCTATATTCATTTAAGCACATTATATAGAGTTGCCCATATGAGTTGCAGTTTGATGTTTTTAATTTAACATTCGATTTAGTAGTCTTGTTTGTATGCATTTTTTTTTCTCTGCCACCATCTTAAATTTATAATATATCTTAAAATTCCAGCTTCTTATACCTTGGTTACCTTACAATGAATGAGTTTCTTATACTTTGGTTTCAGTTACTCTGGAGAATTTCTGCTTGCCTCTTTTAAATTGCTCTCCTGGAAACCTCCAAAGTAAAATTCACATTTGTTACAGAGCATATATTTTAAGCCAAATCATCCACTAATGCCCGATATATTTGGTAAAAGTATTTTTAGCTATTTGTTCATGTTGACCTAATAGCCTAGCAGAAGGCTAGGTATTGTTTCCATTTCTAGTAAAGTCTGCATAGATAACCAAAATTGTTAGAAAAGTTTTAAAAAGATTTATACAGTACACTGTCACACACATACAAATAGTCTATTCTACCACTATATTCTTTTAGGAACTAAGGACGGAAACTAAGATGGTAGAAATCTCAGAGTAGTTGGAAGTTGTAGAATAGAAATTCTTGAAATTCTCTTTGAGTGGAGAAAAATAAGGATAAAATTTACTCTCATTCATTTATTTCTTGAAGACATAGGCCATTTGGACTGGTTTCTATTCATTTTCAGGCTTTATCTAGCTCTCATGAACTGGTAGCTCTAGGAAATGCTCTACTTATTAATATTATATTTAAAAGCTTGTAGCTGGCTTTATTTGCAGGCAGTTTTAAAAATATTTTAAAGTAAAATTAGAAATTTATACTTATTTTCTATATTTACCTTTAATTTTTATATGCCAAATGATGTAATTCTCAGATAGTTATTAATCATGATGCATGTAGTCAATGCATTTAGAATTCTCCAGATTATTCTTTTTTTAAGGGAATTTTATATTTAAGGGTATTACCTTTATTTAAGGGTACTATATATGTTTGTATTAAGTTTATAGATAAAGATTTATAAACTGATATGTATCACTAACATAAATATAACTGGGAATCAACTTTATTTCTCAGAAATCTATAGCTATAAAATACTACTTTACTTTATGTGTAGTTGTAATCAACTTTTTAAGTAATTTAAAAATGAATGAAGGCATATTTGCTAGAGCTTATTAGCCTGTAGTTGCCTAGGAAATGGCTGCTATTTATTTTAAAGTTCTTAAAATATGGCTCCTCCCATATATGTGTTAATTTTTCAGTCATGGCATATATTTTAGGTGATATTTTACTTATATTATGTTTCCTTTGAGCAATAAATTAGTGATATTTTATTTCTCTAAGGTAATACCAAGCTTTGCTGACAATATTGTTTCACCATGGTATCAGTTACATGTCACTAGACTTCAAGCACAATTTATTTATATACTTTATTATCACATATGAGCAAAAATTTATCTCTGTGCTTCTAAAATGTATTTAGTTTTCTGCTTTCTGGATTTGATGATTTCTATGCTATTGTTTTCCTTTACAGATGTAATTTTAAATACTATAACAACAGTATTAGAATAAAAATCTGTACCATTCTTCCATATTTCTTAGAACACCACATAGTGTCAGTTAAGTGTTTTTATTCAAATACAGTCAGAAGTAATTAGGCCAAGTCTGGACTTTTCATAGACTGAAATGTTGAAGCCTGATTAATCCCAATTTGTTTAGATGGCGATAAAGTTTTTAGTGCCATGAGAGGTTCAGTTAATTTATGAAAAAATATGCCTATTACATTATCAGATATGACATTATAGTGTAGAAATGGATTAATAGTTCATAATCAAAACTTTTGTCCTGAGTTACATAAAGACCATCTTGAGTGACTGAAATAAATAAGCTTAATTCTCTCTGTTTTAATTTTTTTACTCTTAAAGTTGGGATACCTGGCCCAATTCCTTCCCATTTGAGATAATTCAGATTTCCTATTTTTTTTATTAAGATAAAAACTAATTCCAAGGATTACTATAATAATAAACAAAAATTTCATGTTTCCTTTCTGTAAACCATAAGCCTATTTCTTATTCCTTGTATTAAATCATTTGATAACAATGAAAAAAATTCAGAAGCCATTCTTTATTGTGCATGTACAATATACTTGATAACCTTGAGTTAAATGAATTACTAAATTATTACATTTTGGACATGCATTGCTCTTTTTAGACTACTGAAAGTTAACTTTTTATTTCTTCAGGTGAGTAATCCTGAAGTTCAAAAACTTTTAATATATTTCTGTATGTGTCTACTGGTGGGGGTTGGTCTCAGTTTTTGTTCTGTATTTACTATTCTGTTCTTATAGTAATTAAAAATATTGCACTAACACAATTATTAGGTCTGTAAAAAAAGGACAGTCAGCTTTCTTGGTAATAGAAGATATAAGTAGAGATAATTAGAAACCAAAACTGAATATACCCTGCTAGATTAATTCCCAGAGAATATTTTTTATCTTTAATGCACATAATTTGCCTGAGAATAAGTGGTAGTTGACTAAATATGTTAGCAATAAAGATACTATCTGTTCAGATTATTTCCTTTTGTATTTTGACTATTTTTAAGTAGAGGGAAAATCTCAGTCTTTACAATCAAGATAAGCATAAAAGTGATGTAAAATTAGAGCCCACAAATCCTAAACCAAGAACTATGAAATCAGTAGTGCTTTGTTGCCAGGTGCTAGATATATTACCTCTTGAATAGAGTTTAGTTTATTACATTAAAAACATAGTAAGTCCATTACTCTCAGACTTTCTATAAACACCACAATTTATATAATGCAACATTATAAAAACTTCAAAGACATTTAGAAAATGTTTAAGTAATGGTTATCTACATCATTTGTGATTGTTCAACTATAGTAAGGTATGAAAATTCCTAAAACGGAAAGAAAAAATAGCAAAGAAAGCAGAAAACAATGAATCCAATGACCCAGTTCACTGAATAAATATAGATGATCACCATATCCATGTCAAACCACCATCCACGGCTATCATCCTCAAAGTGCAGATAATCCATCCTATGTGCACCATGTGGGAACTGCCTTGTAACTGGAGCTGCACGTCTGTGGAAACCTAGAAGATGTATGAACATATTATTTGAAGCTCATTAAATTCAGATACATGCTCAGAAAGGAGGCTTTATTCTGAACACAGGTACCGTGAACAGAGTGTATCTTGATTTCACTGAGTAATATGTTTTATGTCTGATTGTTTTTTTTTCAATGATAAACAACTATCAGAAGTCTCTCTTAGTTATGAATTTTAAGGACAGAGACAATAAAATGATCAAAGACCATGAGAGACGGAGTCAGGAGACTTGTTATGTTACTTGCGCCAATTTATTATCTGTTTGGGACTTAGATGTCTCATCTATGCCATCTGATTACTTAATTAAACATTTTGTGGAGATCAAATGTAATTATTTTCAAATGAGAGCATTTTCTAAATTTAAACATTATTCATGTTTTATTTTTATGACTGTTGTTAATAATTACTGTTTCCTCTTGAATAGAGTTTAGTTTATTACATTAAAAACATAGTAAGTCCATTACTCTCAGACTTTCTATAAACACCACAATTTATATAATGCAACATTATAAAAACTTCAAAGACATTTAGAAAATGTTTAAGTAATGGTTATCTACATCATTTGTGATTGTTCAACTATAGTAAGGTATGAAAATTCCTAAAACGGAAAGAAAAAATAGCAAAGAAAGCAGAAAACAATGAATCCAATGACCCAGTTCACTGAATAAATATAGATGATCACCATATCCATGTCAAACCACCATCCACGGCTATCATCCTCAAAGTGCAGATAATCCATCCTATGTGCACCATGTGGGAACTGCCTTGTAACTGGAGCTGCACGTCTGTGGAAACCTAGAAGATGTATGAACATATTATTTGAAGCTCATTAAATTCAGATACATGCTCAGAAAGGAGGCTTTATTCTGAACACAGGTACCGTGAACAGAGTGTATCTTGATTTCACTGAGTAATATGTTTTATGTCTGATTGTTTTTTTTTCAATGATAAACAACTATCAGAAGTCTCTCTTAGTTATGAATTTTAAGGACAGAGACAATAAAATGATCAAAGACCATGAGAGACGGAGTCAGGAGACTTGTTATGTTACTTGCGCCAATTTATTATCTGTTTGGGACTTAGATGTCTCATCTATGCCATCTGATTACTTAATTAAACATTTTGTGGAGATCAAATGTAATTATTTTCAAATGAGAGCATTTTCTAAATTTAAACATTATTCATGTTTTATTTTTATGACTGTTGTTAATAATTACTGTTTATAAATTCTGATTGCCAACTTAACCTTATATGTTGTATCTCAAGAAGTTTCTTCAGTTGTTTGAGCAAAATTCTATGAGAAAAATGTCTTATTTTGTTTGAGCATTGAATAAACTGGATAAGGTATTCCTTTGAAAAAAATTTCAAAGCAAGGGCCTACTTAAGGATATTGGTTGGTATGTAAAAAGCAAATCTCCAAAGTAAGAAATTGTCCATTTGTGACTAAATTAATATGACATTAGAGAAATATTACATCTTGTGAAATTCTATTTTTTTCTTTGAGACACATATGCTAATTATTTAGAGCTTGAGTATAAACTTTCCTGAGAGCAACCCATTTTTGTTGGCTGACCAATGTATAATTTCAAAGACCTCTAAGAAATAAATTTAATTTTCTAAAGACTGATAACCTAATATTAATCTTTGCTTTTTATCTACTGTCTATTTTAAGTATTTGTGTTTATTAGTGTTAGAACAATATAATAAACTGAGCAGAAAAGGTGTAATTCTGGTACTTGCTAGTAATTCTAGTGATGAAAATTCTGTGAGGCTCAAGCCTGGAAGCAGATTCTGGTTCAACCATGTCAAAAGTTCAGTAATTTTTGACATTATTCTCTAGATCAGACTGCCATTCTGATGGCAAGGTAATTTGCATTCACCTGGATATTAGTATTTTATTTAAAGTCAACTTCTTTGATCAAAAACAATCACAAATTGTGATGTCTCTTTTGTATATATTTAAGGTATAAAACAATGATTTCACGTACATATATTTAGTGAGGTGATTATTTCATCAAGCTAATTAACATATCCATCTCAAATAATTACCTATGTTGTTGTGAGAGTACCTGAAGTCTATTCTCTTAGTAAATTTCTAGTATTTCTTATCAGATACATGATTTGCATATTTTCCTTCCAGTCTGTGGGTTGTCTTTTCATTTTGTTTCCTTTGCTGTGCTGAAGCTTTTAGTTTGATATAATTCCACTTGTTTATTGCCTGAGCTTTCATGGTCATTTCCAAAAAATCACTGGCCAGTGTCAAGGAGCTTACCTTTTATGTTTTCTTGTAGAGTATTATGGTTTCAGTTCTTATAGTTAAAACTTTAATCTATATTGAGTAGACCTTTGGGTACATTGTAAGATAAGGGTCTGATTTCATTTTTTTATATCTAGCAAACCAGTTTTTCCAGTATAATTTATTGTGTATTCTTGGCAATTTTATTGGGAGTTAGTTGATTGTTTATATGTGGGTTTATTTCTGGGCTCTCTATTGTGTTCTGTTAGTCTATGAGTTTGTTTTTATGCTAGTTGCAACTGATTTGATCACTATGGTTTTGCAGTATAATTTGAAGTCAGGAAGTGTGATGCATTCCACTCTGCTCTTCCTCAAAATTCTTTAGCTATTTGGGGTCTTTTGTGGTCCCATATGAAATTTTAGGATTTTTTCTATTTCTGTAAAAAATGCCACTGGTATTTTAGGGATTGCATTGAATCTTTGTATTGCTTTATAATGCTTTTTATTGGACATCTTAACAATATTAATTCTTCTAATCAATGAACATAGAATAGTTTTCCATTTAGTTGTGTCTTCTTCAAATTATTTCATCAATATTTAATATTTTTCAGTGTTTATTTGTAGATTGTTTACTTGTATTATATAGATTTAAAACACATAAGAAGAATGAGATAAAGATAAAATTTTATTTTAGAACAAACTAGCCACCCATATTTCAAATAGGTTTTTGATGAACTTCTAATGTTTTTGGCTGACTTCCTATCTGATTTCCTTTTTTAATTATTGATTTTTATAGCTTACAGAAGGCTTATATTATGATATGTTGGCTCCTCTATTTTTTTGTTTAGTTTTGTTTCCTCTTCAATCTGATTTATTTTTAGATTGTTTAATTAGGTCCCTAGTCTATTTTGTACTGGGAGTTTATTTAAAACCAAATAATATAATCCAGAATCTGTTTAACTGGGCTTATGTTAACTTCTGTATATGTCAACATATGTACAACAAACAAATGAAATCAGCCCTTCTGTATTGTCACATTTCTAGTTTTCCAGCTAACATTACATACCATCGTAACACATAAGAATGCCAGTGTCCCAGTCCTCATTAAATATTAGTAAAGCTTATAAACTTTAATGTTACCTAAACAGAAGAAAATTAATCCCATTTATCTTCCCTCATTCCAATGGACTGCCTGGAACCAAACTGGTGGGCATTCTATTACAGAGAGGATAATAAAATAATTTCAATGCCAACATCTTTTTAAGACTAACTGTAGTCAGTATTTTAAGGGCGAAGTGGCCTTTCTGTCTGTGTAGGAGAGAAGGGGAAGTGGGAAGAATTTTTTTCATGTTCAAATATTAACCTAATATATAAGTACAAATATTCCCAAAAAAAGTTTATATGCCTTTTCAAAAACGTCTTAACAAATAGAGACTGGGAATAGGTAAGTTTGTTATTGGAAATAGTTAATATTACTATTTTAAAAATATGTGGTGTTTTTTGTTCAAAAGGATTTATTATTTATAGGCCTTAGTTTCTTCAGATTAAAAAATTTCAATTGTTTGGGTCAAAGAAGTAATGGTATTAACAGCCTAGTTGTAGAAGACAGTAGAGCTGAGAGTAGACATGGCACAAAAGATGAAGCATTATGAGCAGGGAGATCATACACACTGGCTTCTCCAGTTCACTCTTGGTGTCCTGATATAATTACTAATAGTGTCCCTTTACTCTAAAAGTGTCCTCATTAATGCTAATTTCCTTTATTGGTGGAACAATGGAAAAAGACAGCAGTGTAGGAAGATACTGGACTACAAAAGTTCTAGCTTTGAACTCCTGAAGGCTATGTTGATGCCAGGTGGCTTAGGAAAGAAGTTTTTATAGGTAAAGTGGATAATGATCATTGCTCAATTAAAGTTAACTTAAAAAACTTTTTTTAAGTGGGGAGGGAATGAATAGATGTTTACAATAAATGGGATGGGATGATTATAATTTCTAATCAAAATCAGACTAAAAATCATCTCACTGATACTGTTACTTGATAAAGTATTAAATAGATTATGCATTAGAAAAACTGACAAATTCCACTGTAAAATGATAATGCAAGTATCTAATTCATTGGGCTTTTATGAGGATTAGATTAATTAATACATGTAAATTACTGGTCTATAGTAAAAGTTTGATAAATATTAGATTCCTTTTTTAAATTTATTTTTATTTTTTAACTTAAGTATTGTTGATATACAATCCTACATTGGTTTCAATTATACAACACAGTGGTTCAACAGTTACCCATATTATTAGATCCTTACCCCTACTATTGCAGTTACTATCTGTCAACATAGAAATATGATACAGAATCACTGACTGTATTCTCCATGCTGTACTACCATCCCCACAAAGAACTTATATTATAATTGAGAAATTTTATGCTCATTCATCCCCCTCCTTCTTCCTCTCCAACCCCCACCCCTTCTCCATGGTAACCACCAATCACTTGTCAGTGTCTTGTGAGTCTACTATTTTGTTCATTTTGTTTTGTTTTGTTTTTAGATTACACAAATAAGAGAAATCATATGGTATTTGTCTTTCTCCACCTGGCTTATTCCACTTAGTGTAATACCCTCTAGGTCCATTCATGTTGTCACAAATGGCAGGATTTCTTTCTTTTTATGACTGAATAATATTCCATTGTGTATATGTATCACGTCTTCTTTATCCCTTCACCTATTGATGGACACTTTGGCTACTTCCATACTTTGGCTGTTGTGAATAATGTGGCAATAGACACAGGGGTGCATATATCTTTTCAAATCAGTGCTTTTATTTTCTTCAAGTAAATTCCTAGTTGTATGGCACTTCTACTTTTAGTGTTTTGAGGAACTCCATGCTGCTGTTCATAGTGGATGCACCAGTTTACATTGCCACCAACAGTGTAGGAGGGTTCCCTTTTTCCCATATCCTCATTAACACTTGAAATTTCTTGTCTTTGGATAATGGCTATTCTGACTGGTGTGAGGTGATAACTCATTGTTGTTTGATTTGCCTTTCCCTGATGATTAGCAATATGGCATCTTTTCATGTGCTTGTTGACCAACTGTATTTCTTTCCTGGAAAAATGTCTGTTCAGGTACTCCACCCTATTTTTTAATCAGGTTTTTGTTTTGTTGGTGCTGAGGCATATGAATTCTTTATATATTTTGGATGTTAACCTCTTATTGGATAAATCATTTAAAATATATTCTCCATACTGTAGGTTGCCTTTTGTTTTGCTGATGATGTTCTTTACAGAAGCTTTTTAGTTTGATGTAGTCCAACATGTTCATTTTTGATTTTGCTTCCCTTGCCCAAGGAGATGTGTCCAGGAAAAAAATTGCTTACCCTTATGGTCAACAGATTTTTGCCTACTTTTTTTCTAAGACATTTATGGTTTCATGTCTTATTCAGGTGTTTGATCCATTTGGAGTTTACTTTTGAGTATGGAGTTAGGCAGTAATCCATTTCATTCTCTGGCATGTAGCTGTTCAGTTTTCCCAACAGCAGTGGTTGAAGAGATTGCCTT